TATTATTAAACTAATAATAATTAGTTTTATTTATTTTTTATTTTAATATATAATAAATTTATAATTTAAGAAATAATATAAATTTTTTATATAAAATATATATTTCTTTAATATATTATAAATTATTAATTTTAGTATTTAATATTAAATATTACTTATATTTTTAGTAATTTTTAAATTTAATATTATTAATATTATATTATAAATAAAAAATTATAATAATATAATTTTTTAATTTAAAAAATTAATTTTTAAATTAGTATTATTTAATAAAAATAATCAGTTTTCTGATACTAAATATTATAAATATTAGTAATTTATATTATTATAAGAAATATAAAAAATACAATAAATTATAGCAAAATTTAATCTTTTTTTCTAATATTTTTTATTTTTATATTAAAATAAAAATAAGAATTTATAATTTTACAAGTTGCTTTAAATTTTTTACTGAAAATATATGAAAAGTATAGATTTTTTTCTTTATTTTGATATAAAAATAAAAAATCTTCATTAATAAAATTAAAAACTTTCACATATTGAAAAAATTCTGAATTTTACTATATTTTTTTTGAATTTCTGATTATATATGATAGAGATGTGTATTCGTATTTATATTTTTATTATTTATTAAAAAATTAATTAAAAAATTAATTAAAAATTTATAAATTTAAATTTTAATTAGAATTATTGGATAGACACATTATTTTCTTTAATTAGATGCAAAATGATTTTAATTTAATTGCTATATTTTGAATACTTGTTATTATTGAACAATAATTTTCTTTTCTCAAATGTTTCCACTATATAAAATTTGCAATGAGTGTTCGCTGAGAATACAAATTTCAGAAATATCGTCGGAGTTATATCAGTATATCGAAGTTTGACTATATACATATACTGATATGGAATGATTTTATAATTTCATTGCTATAAGTTCATTAGAAATTTGTTTTCGTTTTACAATCTTTCCTAAATACGCCATTGTTAAATTTTTATACTTACATTTCAAAGCAAAAGCAAGAGTCTGTTACATGCTAAACAACGCTATCAATTTTTTTAATTAAAACCATATTTCGATGTCAAACTTCCAATTCACCAGTTTTCTCCAAAAGGATGAACAAAACAATATCCGCAAAAAGGAACTCAGAAATATACATGTAATACTTTATTAATTTTACTAGAGCTTTTAAGTACGATCAATTTTATAAACATTTTTAAGATAAACAATAAATAGTTATATATATATATATATATATATATTTATACAGTGTTCAATGGTGATTTACCAGTATAGATGAGACCGTCATAGACAAAACCAGCTACCAATCCACCAACTATAGGAGCAACAAGTGGGATCCAGAAATACAACTTTGCCGCAGAAAAAACTTCAACACCGTAACCAGCGACGAAAGTAAACAATCGAGGGCCAAAATCTCTTGCTGGATTTAAACTAAAACCAGTTTCCCAGCCACCCGCCAATGCAATAGTGGTAAGAGCAAGACCAATAGTGAATGGCGCAGCAAATTTGGAAGTTGGAGTATTTCGTTCGTCAGTCACTGCAAGGATGACAAGGAGTAGGAAGAAGGTGCCGAGTGCTTCGGAAAAGAATGCACCGGGTGTTGTGAGGAAACCGACTGGATAGGTTGCGAAAATACCGGCTGTGGCATTTTGACCAGTCACGTGTCGATGTCCACCATCGAATTTCGAGATAGCCACGTTGTAATTTGCAAATACAATGGCTGCGGCTACAAAAGCACCTATAGTTTGGGCGACGATATAACCAGGTACTTTTAACCAACTGAAACGACGGAACACAGCAAGTGTTATCGTGACGGCAGGATTTAAGTGACCACCCTACAAATAATTATTCAATACATTAGAGTACACTCCGCGAGTTGTCATTTTTCGATCACTTGATTGTAATTTCTAAATGTAATTATAATTCGGGCCAGTATTATGGTAATGTTGAATTATACTGTCAGCCCGAATTATCATAGAGCGAAGTCAAATGACACGATTTTTGACTACATATGTATATATATATCATATTTGACATACCGAAATGTTACCAGATACAGTGATAGCAAGTGCCAAACCAAAACCAAAAGATAAAGCAATAGTCAGCCAATTGCCTTTTGGACTATCACTAAGAAATTCACTGAGGACTGCTTGGGCAATACCACCGAGACCGAAGCCAACCAAAGTGAAAGTACCCAAAAATTCAGCAAAATATTCACGGAATTGATATTTGATTTTTCTCCAACCATGGAGATTATCATGATCATGTACTACTTCTATTTGTTCGGGAACAGCCGTCGACTTTCCAACACTAGCATTATCATCGGTAGCACCATAGCTGGAGGAACCGCTCCCTTTAATTGGTCCACGTTCGTCTGCCATTTTTTAAAATAATGATCGTTAGATTAGTTTAAATACGTTAACCAAGTTTCGAAGAGCAAACTTTGAGAAAAAAAAAGAAGCGAAAAATGAAATGTCATCTACATTATATATATATAGAAAAAAGAGGTATGGAAAGAAAATAAGGTTATCGTCTGTGCAGCAAAACTCAAAACACAAATTACAACGCCAATTCGTCATTTCATTGCACAAACAAATAAACTTATCTAATAAAAGTTCATTTGAAACGATCCATATGATAATGTGCGTTGGTTATCAGGAGAGAATAGCACCATCGTATTGATTAATTAAATTTATTCCCAGACTGTCCAGCAATAAGTCAATTTTTAGAAACAAAAAAACTTGTATCGGTACTCGGTTGTTATAGATTATCGATCTACAACAGCCCGCATCTCCGTTTTCCAGCGTGAGAATTATGAAATCATAATTTTGTCAATAGAGTTACGCAAGTACAAATATTGTCTCACCAAAGCTTTAAACATAAAAAATAACATGTAAATATTGTCTCACCAAAACTTTAAACATAAAAAATAACATGCACATTTTCTTAACCAAACCAAATTTATCTTTTTTTTATCAACCAACCCCCGTATTCACTAACCCACAAGTTATTAAACCTGTATCAAAAATGATAAATTAAAAAAGCTTATTCGATGATAATCTTTGTACTCGTAGAGTTTGGATTATTGTAAGTAGACGTTGCACATTTTTATCACTATGTCTACTTCTACACCGACTCTTTGATCAATAACTTTATAGTTGTTGCTTATCAGCTGGAGTTTAATGAATTTTTTGAATTGAATTAAATTTCCTTACCGGGTGGGCATACATTTAAAATTTTAATGGTTAAAAAATAATAAATTATTTACTGTACATTAAAATTAGCAAAATTTTTTATTCCATTAATCCTTTGCCAATTTGCCTTCGCCAATTTTTTTAACCAAAGTTGCCCAACGATGTCTCACGAAATCGGCATTTCTACCATTTCCCATCCTATCAGCTAAAGCCTTCCACCTGCTTTTTTCTGCTTCACCTGCTAATTCTGCCATTCCTTCCATAATCATTTTATCTTCTTCAGGTGTTGATGCTCCTTTTCTTGTAGAAACGGATTTACCTCCATTTTTTAAGGAACGCCTTTGCTTGATAGATGCTTCTTCCTTTTTATCCTTACCATTTTCATCTTTTTCTGGGAATAAAGTATCGATTTTTTCTTCGTCTTCATCAGATTGAACAATGGTGGCGGAAAGCTTTTCTTTTTTTGTGATATCTTTCTTTGCTCGTTTCTTAATTGGGAGTTCTTCCGTCTCGGAGCCAGTCGCATCGATTGTTTTCTTGGGCCGTTTTCTAGATGTTTTAAATATAGTTGTGGTATTTTTTGTTTGAGTAGACTTGACTTCTTTCTTGCGCATAGGTGGCTGTTATTTATGATTGTGAAACTATAATGAATTTCAGAGTTATTTTATATGCGCACAAAAATATAAAAATAAGAAAATACCGCTTCATCGAAATTTTCCCCATCACATTCAGTTTCGTCCTTTGTGGGAACTTCTTCAAAGGATTCTTCTTTTCTCTGATTGTCGTTTTTTGTATGAGTATTGTTCGTCGTCGTCATCTTTAAAACCTAGGTGCACGAAGTTGCAAGTGCGGTCAAAATTTTATATGTGTTAGAACACAAGAAATCAAAATCAATCAATCAAATTATTTCTCAATCAACTTAAAAATAAAATAAATCTTAGTGAATGCCGGCATGATAGAATAGTAGATGTCTTGGTAATGATAATAATTCTTTGCTTTTAAAAGACAAAATCTTTAACACGTTAAAAGGAACACATACTCTGGTGGTTCTTAAACAATCGTATAGATGTACAATTTGGCATATATTTATAATCTTACGATGATTCAATAAATTCACTTATATTTAAGTTTGTTGCTTTCACAAGATGGATCCGGTATGCTAAAAAATTTTTACAATCGTATTTGCTCCCACAAATTCGCGAATCACTTCGACACCGTAAAGGTTGGCAACTATCAAACAGCCCATGCTGATATACAATTAACCCATAGGACCCGGCCCTTTCGTGCAACAGTGCTCTGGTCTTAAACTCTGACATCCTGAACTGAGTATTCTAGACTTATAACGCATGCTTCGAAATTATTTATGGATAAAATCATAGATCCTCAGTTATAATCCCAATATTGTGGCGAATAAAGTTCACGAAAAATTTTCAAATTTAACTTAAAACAAATTAGTTTGGAAATCTAGCATACGTTGACGTTCATCGATTCTGTGAGGCTTTGTTAAACGTATTCAATGTTCCTTTTAATTGGGATAAATTGAAAGAAATACGATGAAGGATGGTGAGGATTTAAGAATCATGTTAAGCTTATGGAACTTTTGTATCCGAAAACACATTCTTTACATCCTTAGGATTCAAGACAAAAGACGGACGAAATATTTCAAAATTTGCAACGAAAAATTACGCAAGAATGTTAAATTGACTCGTATTACGTTTGAAGAGTAGTGACGAACCACATGTCGGTCTAGAAGCAAAAATGTTACGTCTCGGCAAACAAAGTGATCTTTCACGAGGGTTCATTTCTCTCTGCCAATTATAGAATGTTGGATTATTGTTGTGCAAGGAAGTTTATTGCAATAATTATGGTTATCGACAGACGTTTCATTTATATCACAAACCTTTGTGTGAAAAGAGATAAACACTATTTTAAATAAGGAAAGTCGACCTCCTCATTGATTCATCTATTTGCAATCAAGTTTTTGCAATTAGCAAACTTCGAAGCATCTGTATTGAAGGAATCTACCATTTACACCGCAACTACCGCTTCCTTGTATGCTCGATTGATTTTTACGAACAGACTAATGAGCTTTTAGATATTACGCAGGGTGGTCTTCGCTTTGATTTTGGGTACTTGCCTGCATTTTGCCAAGTTATATCCTTTAATTTCCCTAATCAATCATAACTGTAATCCGAATTCGGAAAAGCAGTTATAGAATAAAAGAGGAGAAGCGATTATATTGGCAGCAACTTAAGTGGCCTATATCGTTTTATTCTGTTGTATTCTTTATATGGTATAAAGTGCAAATGCGCAGAAGATAGCATTCATTTTCTGAATTGCTTGGTGGCAGTAATACAGCTAAACATACTTTGTAATGCTCATTATCTTTTTTAATTAATAGAATTATATATTGTTATGTTGCTCTCTAAAGATGTCAGATCTCAAGAAAGTATGGTGTAACACAATGGTGAAGTGCTGTAACTGAATAATTTACAAAGAAGAGGGGATCTCTATTTGGTCTAAAGGTCTCCTGTGGTGGTATTATGAAAACTACGCTTCAAAAGGATAATAGGGTCTTGAGTAAGGTGTCTCAAAGGGATACGGGTAGTTTCTGCTCACACCAACACTAATCCGAGAAGAGTTAGACTTATTGACACGGCCGACAATTTAAACAACCAGAGGAATTAGACACAAAGTAAATTTCACACAGCACTAAGCCAATCAGATGATGCAAGAAGTGGGTTCAACAGTTGGACTTATTCAATGCCAACAAACAAGAATAGTAACATTTATTTAGAGTGAAGTTCTTCCACTAGCAATTTATGTTAGGCACAAAAGAAATAAAAGCCACTTGTACGCAAGATTTTGGCTGAGTGACAACAAGAAGATTATTTTGCAAAACAAAAGAATGGGTTGCAAATTATTATCTTTATTTGTAGTTGTTCCTGCCTTTTGTTGAAGGGCCAAGAACTCGCCCTTTTATACATATTAGTGTCCTATAGAAATTACTTAACGACATTTATCTATGATAATTGAGAAGAGAACATAATGCTAATAGAGACAAATAAAGCGTGAGACAGTAAAAACTCAGTCAGATGTGAATTATGATCTTCAAGATCTTATTATGGAGCATCTAGTATCGTAAAAAAATGAATTATTGAATCATTTTAACAATTGTGTTTTACATGATATTGTCACACGAGACAGACTATTGATTATTGATTTCCACGGAAGCTATTATTGTTAACTATCGATTGTTACAATTAGCAAAGATAGCGATAGTAATAATATACTGTATCAAATATCGTTCATTCCAAATTTAGTCAGGATCTTTATGCTAAGTAAATTACGGAATTTATGATTACTTCAGTAACAATATTATGGAATTCGAAATAATTAACACACGCATACATAGCATTCTTTAATTCAAATACATTATAAAAATCAATCGTCAATCGAAAGACTCCTTTTGCGGATATTAGAAGCGTGTTAATGTAATAGACCAAAGAAAATATAATTCTGATATTTTGAAAATATTAATTTGTATCTATAAAATTAATGTTGTACGAATTAATATTACATAACATTCCAACAACAATAGGTAGATTGCGCTTCCAGATACAAGGCTTCATTTCCACTCACATCAAAAAAAGATAATAACCAGAATAATCATTATCATACCAAAGCTTCTGCAATGTGATGGAGCTCGTGAATTTATGGGCGAGGCAAAAGCATAATATTACAATTCAAATGATTGGACTTGCATTTCAACCGCTCTATACAAAATTCAGTATGCTGTTAAATCATTATCCGCTAATCCTATATTAATAAGAGCATGGGTTAGGTATTTGCCGGAAGTTATCAACTACCTGAATAATTACCCCACCCGTCTCATCTGAGATCCAGATTCTTCGAAATGGGGACTAGTTCCTGAAAAAAGCTATCAGACTGGCACGAGTAGGGTCTAGACCATCCACAAAATACAAGCGTCCTGTTGGGAAGAATGAAGAGACATTAAAGAAAGGTGACTTGATAGATTTGTACCCAGGTTAAAGACGTGAAAACATATAATGGAAATTTCAGCGTTCCTAAATGGCCTTTCACATTATTGATAATTTGGCGAACTAATTCAAGAAAAACAAATGAGGTTGTAATCTTATGCTTGAAAATAAGCTTTATCGAATGTTTAATGGGGAAAAATGGAGGAACTAGATATATTTTAAATGGTGACCTTGCACTGATCGGCCACCACTTTAAGAAGTCGAAATATTTATATCTCTATCAAATTATAGCAAATTCTCCAGAGCCATACCGTGAAGATATTTCATTTGGTCTATAATATTCCAAGGCTAGATTCATTTTCTCCGGAAAAAGGTACGGTAGTTATATTCGAAGATTTATGTGCTGATCCGAAGAAAGTGCAGGAGAAGATTGTTCCATATTTCACATTCCAATATCAGCTCGATATAGATATAATAAGAGTTACTTCGACTGCCCGAAGCTAATAACGAAAAAATCTCACACATGTTTGCTTATTTAACGGATCATATACTTCGGATGAACTAAGCAGAATTGTATGCTAAGGGGCGTAATATTTTTTCTGATCCATAGTCTTACGTTTCCGGCTTAAATCGGTACAAATATGATTTAATTCGGTCAGACTAATTAATGGGATAGGAACCAGGCGTCATTACTGTGGTGGTGTAACTGAGCTTCTGTATTTTTACTTCATTCATAATACCGATCACATAATAAAATTTACATTATGATCATTCCGAAGAATTACCGCGTTAATACAACCGCGATAAATCTGTTAGAAATATTAACTCGATCAACAGGAAAAAAATCATGTGCGCGTCCCGCTTCGGAACACTGATCACTGTCGAAAAATTATTGTAATTTCACACCATACAAGCATACACGAATTAAGAATACAAGCCTAATATAGGAGAGCCAATAAATACATGACTAAAACCTAGATCGCAATATTAGGGGAAGGAAATACATGAATTGTCCCTTTGTTCAAGCAATCCAATCATTCTACAAAGAATACATATTTGATTGGATCGAGGTGCAAGCTGATTGTATTTATGATGTGAAGTTGTATCTGAAAGATGACATACAGTAGCTCACAAAAAAACGCAACATGGAAAAAACGGCGAGATACGAATATCTCGCTGTAGGGAAAACTAAAAGGTGAGTATAGTGATTCGTCAATATTTCTAGCATTGATGATATCAAAATTGATCTTTTAATTGACAATTATTTAGTGTTGCACTAATTAGATAGGCATATCGGCGGACTTCTGGCTAAGGTAAGTAACAAGCTGCTAAATTTTTTACGTACTACATACTTCAATATTCTATATAACCTAGTTTCTATTACCTCACTAATCATAGGAGGACTTTCATATGATTGGTTAATGTAAATCAATTGCCCGGTATTGCCTGATAACTAATTTATACATTTTAAAGTACTTTTTGAGAACATAATTTTTCACTAATAAAAAATCGTCATAAAAACTATTCCGAGCTTTAAATAAACGTCAATATTCATTGTGCAAAAGAATCTAAAAAGAATCTAAAATCTGAAATACTTTACTTAGAAGACAAAATGTCATGCGTAATTACTATATGTGAGAGAAAGTCAACCTCTATCTATTGGAAAAAAGTAACTGAGTATGTTATTGCTAAAGGACAAGCTAGCAGCAGTTTGCCAGATTATGTTCATTTAGGTGATACATTATGCTTGAACTGTTATAGTGGAATCATAACAAAAAGTTCAGCTAAATTTCGACAACATGTCGAAACTAGTAAA